TCCTAGGTCTCCAACCTTGCGCCTAACAAGAGTAGAACCTCAGGCCCACTGCTGTCCCTTCCCCCCACCACATCATGTGGCCCCAGGTGTGTTGTGTAATTTTCAGGTCTTGTCAGTCATAAAACGTTTTTTTCAAAGTTTCCTGGTGATTGCTGAAGGTTTTAATTTGTTTTTAATTTTTATTTCTTTTGAGGGGGAAGCTATTAGGTTTTATTTTTTTAATTTATTTATTTATGGAGGTACTTGGAATTGAACCCAGGACCTCATGCATTGCTAAGCATGCACTCTATCACTGAACTATATCCTCCCCACTCCACTGAAGGGTGTTTTGCAAGCATTGTAACTACTATAATCTCTGCTCCAGCCACAGTGTTAACTGTTGATAGGCTGAGACCAGTATAAAACAACTTAATATGCAGGATGTGGAATCTGGAAATTTTTGGTAAGCAGGATCAGACTTAGATAATCAAGGAAAAATGGGGACTCTCCAATTCTGAATGACAATAAAGCAGCAATTAATTTTTATCTTCTATAGAACCTGTGAAGTACTCTAAGGGTAGAAAAGAGAAATAAGAACATGATTAATTTGCTCAAAAATTCAAAGTGGCATTTTACTATAGTGAGAACAGAGCAGTACAATAATGCCTGATATTTGTTGTTCAATTGGAAGTCAGTCTTCAGCCACCTTGATATTCTGGGCCAGTTATTCAAGAAATTTACTCATGAGGTTATTTTTCTGAATTACTGTAATTTCTCTGAATTCTCTGTAATTACTGAATAATAGTATTTTTCTGTTGCCTTATGCAAGAATTATAAAGGGGTAATCGGGATGAATTTTAATTGGCAAATGTTTTGGAAAGTGCCAAGGTAAGCTCCTGATATCTTACTGCATAAATACTTAAGTAAGAGAAAGAAAGATTGCAAGGCACTTTTTCATGATCATGGTCCAGGATCTTATGGACAATTTAATGAGTCCCATGTTTTCCATAGAGGAAATGTAATTTTTGTACCCTTCTGGGGACATGATGATGCCACATTAACAAAGTCTATTGTTTGTTTCCTAGCATAAGCCATCTCGTTATGGAGGAAGTAAGTCAATGAGGTTTCTCTTTTTCAAGTTAATTTTTTTAAGAAGTGGGGTCACTAGGGGTAGCTCACTTTCTTCTGATACATTACTGTGCAAGCCCCAGGACCTGGTTTAGAAAACATTTAATTTTTCCATTATTCAGAATGGATATTTTCATGTTGTACCACAAACTGCATGGACCAGGAGCAACATGTTTTAGAACTGTTGCAGAGAGATTCATCTTCCAGAGAAGCAGCTTTGTAGCCATTGTGGTAACTTTTTAGTCATAACTGAAGATCAAACTTTGTTTGTGCACCAAACTTCCAAAGATAGTTTCAACATTCTTGCATCCTCTTTCAGGTAGGGGAAGAAGATAAGGTATTATTTTCTGGGCATAATGACATTGGTTTGGGTGGTAGTCAGTGTGAAGTCAG